CCTCAAAGAACAGGGAAAGGAAGAATGAGCTAAGTCCAGAGTTAGTAGAGGGGAGAAAATAACAAAGTTTGGAGTAGAAATAAATGAAACAGAGAGTAAAAAGACAATAGAAAAGATACACATATTTTTAAAATTAAAGGAGAAAATGAAAACCACCTGGACTCACACCACTGTTAACCTTTTGATGTGTGTTGTTTCAGTCCTTCTGCCAGTTAGTGTGTGTCTTACAAGAAGAGTATGAGTAAATCACAACATTCTGGAGTCTGTTTTCTGCCCACCCCCACTACTGGTGTGTCATGAATATCTTGCCATCTCATTAAATATTTGTGTAATGGTCACATTATTTCACTGTCTCTCATCATTTATGTAAACTGAATTCTGATAGAACTATTGATTTACGTGTTTTAATAAAACAGGTTATTCATGCAAATTAGATAAAAATGATTTTTGTGTATTTATTGAGTAAAATAGAATTAAAGTCTTAGCAATATAAACATTTGAAGCTAAGTTCCTTAGTTAGAGACAGATACATAATTCTTTGTAGGGACTTTTAAGGGAAAGGAAAAGCCTTTACGGAAAATATTTGTTCATACTCTATGTGAGGACTTTTTAGAGTAAAAGTGACAAATACCCCAACTAGAATTGAATGTAGCAAAAGAGGAAATTTATGGGTGAATATATCATTTATCTGTTACCCTAGTAATATTTCAAAATATCAACCACAAAATATCACTGACGTATTGGGAAATATGCATTTATTTAGTCCATGAGTATACGGAGTTCAGTGGCTGTCAGCTGGACTTGATCATGCATCTGTTATCAGCTGTTGATTGGCTAGGAACCTCTGCTGGTCTTAGATGGGCTTGCTCAAATGTCTTGGGGTTCTATCTAGGACATGTGACTCTGTTTTATATTATTATTTTTCAGCAAGCTAGACTGGGCTTGATCTAATTCCTATGGAAGAAAAGAAAATGAGCAAGAAAGTAGATACACTCCCAGGACATTGTGGCTAATTGTTTGGAGTATCATGCAGGGGAGTCCAAGCTTTTGGCATCTCTGTGCTATGCTGGAAGAAGCTGAGTTTTCTTGGGCTACACATTAAATATGATGTCACACATAATAACAAAAAATCTCATATAGTTTTAAGTAAATTTACAATTTTGTGTTGGGTGCATTCACAGCCATCCTGGGGTGCATGCAGCCCATGGACCGCAGGTTGGACACCCCTGAATGGGAGGGGTGTGGGTTCCATTCCTGGTCACGGCACACACCTAGTTTGTAGGTTTGATACTCAGTCTGATTGTGTGTGGTCCCTGGTCTGGGCACCAATCGATGCTTCTCTTTTGCATTGATGTTACTCTCCCTTCCTCTTTCTAAAAGTAATGGAAAAATGTCTTTCGGCAAGTATAAAAAAAGTAAATACTCAAGTGCTATTTTAATCCTCCAATTGCTTCACGTTTGTTTTCTTCTTATTGGCCAAAGAGAGTCATATGACAGAACCTAGGGTCTGATTGTGAGGGCACTGACAAGGAGGCACATCCAGGAAGGGGTAAAGAATTAGGGCCATTAACGCAGTCAGTCTACCTGGCGTATGTCACTGAAATGGCCTGGGGATAGATGTAGCTTCAGTGGCTGCTGGATCCAAGGTATCAAGTGATGTCATCTGGCTTGATTTCACACTATTAAAGGTTTGGTTCTGATTTCTTTTGCATTAGCTTCAATCTTGGGGAAGCCCTTTTTACATGGTAGTACTCAGAACCTCCATTTCTTTTTAAATTATATTTTATTGATTATGGTCTATGACCATACCACCCTGAATGCACTTGATCTCATGTGATCATGCTATTACAGTTGTCCCAATTTTACCCGCTGTGCCCCCTTGCACCCAGCACCACCAAGTCCCTCAAGCAGTACCCACACTGGTGTTCATATCCATGGGTCATGTGTAGGTTCTTTGGCTACTCTGTTTCTTATACTGTACTTTACATCCCCATGGCTATCCTGTAACTTCCTATTAGCACTTCTCAATTCTCTCACCTCTTCACACACCCTACAACTCCTCTCCCATCTGGCAACCATCTAAATGCTCTCTGTATCCACGATTCTGTCTCAGGTTTTCTTGTTTGCTTAGTTTGTTTTCTTGGATTCAATTGTTGATAGCTGTGTATTCATTGCCATTTTATTGTTCATAGTTTTGATTCTCTTTTTCTTGAATAAGTCCCTTTAACATTTCAATAGTAATGGTTTGGTAATAAAGCTGTCCTTTAATTTTTTCTGGTCTGGGAACTCTTTGTCCACCCTTTGATTCTAAATGATAGCTTTACTGGGTACAGCAATCTTAGCTATAAGTCCCCCTGTTTTTCATGACTTTGAATATTTCTTGCCAGTTCCATGTAGCCTGCAAAATTTGTTTTGAGAGAACAGCTGACAGTCTTATGGAAACTCTCCTGTAGGTAGCTAACTGCTTTTTTTCTGCTGCTTTTAAGATTATCTGTTTATCTTTAACCTTTGGTGTTTTAATTATGATATGTCTTGGAGTGGGCCTCTTTGCCTCCATTTTGTTTGGGACTCTCTGTGCTTTCTGGACTTGCCTGTCTATTTCCTTCACCAAATTAGGGAAGTTTTCTTTTATTATTTTTTCAAATAGATTTCCAATTTCTTCTTCTTTCTCTTTTTCTGGTACCCAATGATGTGAATGTTGAAATGCTTGAAGTTGTCCCAGAGGCTGCTTACACTATCCTCATTTTTTGAGATTCGTTTTTTCCCCTTATTCTGATTGGTTGTTTTTTGCATCCTTATGTTCCAAATCATTGATTTGATTCTCGGCTTCATTCTCTCTACTGTTGTTTCTCTGTAAATGTTCTTTATTTTAATTACTGTATCCTTCATTTCTGACTGGATCTTTTTTATGCTGCTGAGGTCCTTGCTAATTTCCTTGAGCATCCTTATAACCAGTGTTTTGAACTTAGCATCTGATAGGTTGCTCATCTCCATTTCATTTAGCTCTTTTTATGGAGTTTTGATCTGTTCTTTCATTTGGGCCATGTTTCTTTGTCTCCTCATTTTGGCAGCCTCCCTGTGTTTTTTTCTATGTATTAGGTAGAGCTGCTTTGACTCCACGCCTTGGTAGTGTGACCTAATGCAGTAGGTGATCGGTAGGGTCCAGTGGCACAGCCTTCCCTATCATTCAAGCTGGGTAGGGTACTTGACGTGTGCCTTTTGTGTGGGCTGAGTACATTCTCCTCTTAGAGTTGAGTGTTGGCAGATCAATGGGAGGGATTTGCCCAGGCCAGTGCGCTGCAAGGATTGGCTGTGACCACTTACCTCCAATTCTGCCCTTTGTGGAGGATCAGCTGTGTGGGGGCAGAGTGGTGATACTCCAGTATGGTTTGTAGTTGTCCACTAAGTGCATTGGCCCTGCACTTTCCTGGGTGGTACAGACCCCCACCTGTGTTTTTTCTGAGCCATAAAGCTCTCTGAGATGACTGCTACTTGTGCTGGGCTTGGAGATTCTCAGGTAAAGCCAAGCTGTGAATTTTGGCTGGCTGTTGCTAGTGCCTGGCCTGGGGCCCACTGAGGCCAGTTCTTGTTTGTTTGAGAGGATTTAGTAAGTTGTGAAGCATGAGCCAAGACAAGCCATTTATATGGAAAAGCAGCTTGGATGGGCCCCTAAGTTGCATGAGGAGAAGTAACCTCAGTTTGGCCCTGTCTAGAATCTGTGCTTTTACTATCTTTTTTTTAAATTTTTTTTAAAGATTTTATTTATCTTTGAGAGAGGAAGGGAAGGAGAGGAGGAGAGAAACATCAATGTGTGGTTGCCTTTCATGCATCCTCTGCTGGGAACTGACCTGCAGGGAACCGGCCTGCAACCCAGGCATGTGTCCTGACTGGGAATCGAACCGCAATTGTGTGGTTCGCAGGCCCATGCTCAATCCACTGAGCTATGCCAGCCAGGGCTTGCTTTTACTATCTTAAAGATGAAAAAAAGAGAGTACACCAAGAACACCATAATGAGAAAAGCAGGAGGCCATGATGTACCCCATGGAGGCAATTTGCATACTAGCATTAATGGGATAAGCCCTGCTACATAAAATTTGTCCCAATGTATAGGAACTTCTACTATTTTCTCTAGGAGTTATGGGAACAGGGACTCTAACATGGTGCACTGTTCTCCTGTCCCATTTCTGTACAGGTGTGGAGTAGTTAATGTGAATATTTAGGTCAGAAATAAAGGAAAGGAAGTCTCAATATGCCAGCCTGAAAGATATAAGTGAAAGGGGAAAGAGACAGGACTGTCATCCTTTCTGATGATAGCATTTCAGACCTGGTTATGTGCAGAGAGGCTCTGGTTGAGCCACCTCTTTTTCTTTTAGCTCCAAGATGGCCAATAGGTTCTAACACATGTGTCAGTGCTCATTGATTGATGGTAAACCATCTAGAGTGCTGTGTTGAGAAGAGTTCTAAACCTAGTGAAAAAAAGGACTGTGATGGATTTGAGATGTCTTAGAGGGTACAGGAGTGGGAGGTAAGAATATGATAGACTATTATTTGACATCTTAGGAAGCAACAGCTTCTCAGAGTCACTGTCAAACTACTTGTGTGTGTGTGTGAGGCGGGTTATTCCCCCAGAAAGAGTATTTTATAACTAAGGTCTCTGTGATGAGATATCCTATGGTCAATTTTCTGGAGGTCCCAAATGTCACTTAACATAACCCAAAAGTGCAGAACTTTATCTTCCTAAGGAAAAAGAAGTGTGTTTTTGTTCTGAACAAATTTGACCTTGCTTGAGAGCTGGATGGGGTAATTTACCATATCTTCAGATGTAGTAAGTAAAGTTTTGGGGTCACCTTTCTTATTAAATGAACATGAGTATATGTAGCAATCATCTATTTATTATCACTATTGATCTATATTTATCAACATATACTTAAAACGTAATGAAGTTATAGTCAGAGTTCTAAAGAAGTTTGTTTTTGATTTTCCTTTTTCTCATTTTTCAGATCTCTCTGATTGGAGTCATTTTCTGGTACAGACTATGAGTAAAATGCAGTGAAAATTCTGACCAACAGTGGAAATATTGGCTTAATCCCCAGCTTACTGTAGCAATCCTTCTCCTCAGTATCACCTCATAATAGAAGAAAAATGTACGGAAGTGCAAGAACAATAACCAATCTGGAAGGGAGCCCTTCTAGATCTCCTCGTTTGCCAAGGTCTCCTCGTTTGGGCCACCGAAGAACAAGTAGTGGGGGAGGTGGAGGAACAGGCAAGACTCTGTCCATGGAGAACATCCAGTCCCTTAATGCAGCCTATGCTACGTCTGGGCCCATGTATCTGAGTGATCATGAGGGGGTGGCTTCGACAACTTACCCGAAGGGCACCATGACTCTGGGAAGAGCCACAAATAGAGCTGTATATGGAGGTCGTGTCACAGCCATGGGGAGTAGTCCCAATATTGCTTCTGCTGGACTTTCCCACACAGATGTCCTTTCATACACAGATCAACATGGTGGTCTGACCAGTTCATCCCATCATCACCACCACCAGGTCCCCTCTATGTTGAGGCAGGTAAGGGATAGCACAATGTTAGACCTTCAAGCCCAGCTCAAGGAACTTCAGAGAGAGAATGATCTCCTTCGGAAAGAGCTAGACATCAAGGACAGCAAATTGGGATCTTCCATGAATAGTATCAAGACCTTCTGGAGTCCTGAGCTCAAGAAGGAGAGAGTCTTGAGGAAGGAAGAAGCAGCCCGTATGTCTGTCCTCAAGGAACAGATGAGGGTTTCCCATGAAGAAAATCAGGTAGGTATGACTCATTTCCTTGTTTTTCACCTTGGCTTCTCACTGAGTAGTTGATGCTGTGCAAACGTTACCAAAACCTGTGCAGAAGAAAGTTCAGCATCATCAAACTAGCTCTGACTTAGTATGTGTTTCACTTGGGGACTGCAAGAGGTCATAGGAAATATGAGATTACAGCTTGTGATCTCCTTATTTTCCAATGGCCTTTTCACATTGTTGCAGAAGAGGGAGGATCACTTCTCAATGCCTAACTTTTACACTTGGTTAATTTTGTGTTCATTTTCTGCAGTCACAAGAGCAACTCAGATGTACTTCCCACCGAATAGAAGAGTAAAATGTTAATTTTTGCAAGAGTGTGCATTTTAACAGCAACATTTAGTGGGTCACATTTGACTGGTGGATTGACTTTTGTTTTAGTTCCCACAGATTATATCTTTTTAGAATGAGTGGAATTTATTTTCTAAGTAGCAAACTAAACAATATTAAGTACTGTTGGGTAGATTGAGCTTGATATTGTATTAGAGAAACACAGTACATTTTTGCCTCATCCATTCAGTATAAGTACATACTATGTTCATGACACCTTACTTGTCTTTGATCCATTTTCCAAGTCATAGCAAGATTAGTTTTCCCAGACTCTACCTGTAGTTGTGCCATTTCCCTGCTTTAAAGTCCTCAGTAATTACTCATTGCCTCCAGAATGAAGTCTACCCTTTTGTCTCAGCCTTCTATTGGAAAGCCTGAATCAGCCTTTCCAGTATTATCTTGTATCTCCTCCCTCACATCTCCTATTGCTGCCAGAACCACCATGTGGTAATTCCTGCAAGTACTCAAGGGTTCCCACCTCCGTACCTTTGCTCTTTCCATTATCTTTTGCTGGAGGACTTCACAGTGCTTCCTCTCTTTGCTTCTTCCCTTTCAGTCCCAGCCAATCTTGATGTTCACATCCTAACTGTTCTTTGAGGCTCATTTATATGATGCTGTTTTCAAAAGGCTTCGGGATGTGCCTGGGTTTAGATTCCAGCTTCAACTCATACTGGTAGTGAGATACCAGTAAGAACTAAGAGATGGGGAATAGAAGGTTAGTGGGTGCCATGCCATTTGGCTAGAAAAATTCTCAGATATTGTTTAACTTTATTTAGAAACTTGAGATAATTTAAACTTGGCTATACACCAATGATTCCCCAATAATTGATCTTTATGTTGACCTAATAAAGTGACCCTTCTCTCTGTTACCGTGGCTACCATGCCTTTGGAGTCCAAGCACTCAGAAACATTTCTGATTTTTATGAGAACTTGCTGTTTGTTTTCCTTCTAAGTGGAAAGTAATCACCTTATACCTTTCATTATCTGACAGAGCCTATGTTGGTTTTCAGATATGAAAATGTGGATTTTAGTTGGAGCAGAAAGCCTTGTCTTTTACTCCTAAATCAAATTAATGCTCTTAATTATTATTTCTGTTTTTTTTTCTGACTGCTGGTTCATGAAATCCTGTGAACCTGTTACATCTCTGTGCATTTCCCCAGTTCTGTTCTGCTTTTCTTCCTTTGTTGGTTGTTTTGGAAAATGGTTAAAGCAGTTAGGTGCAAGTAGTAACAAAGTTGAAAGTCTTCTCTAAATTGTCAGTTCTAAAATTACTTTTATCTTATGCTTTGATCATTAAATGGTTTTTGAGTGTAGATTTCCTACTTATGAATGTATAATTATTTGTAAATTACATGATGTGTAACTGTCATTATATTATTCAGAAAAATTTAGATAAGGAAGAGATAAAATAAATAGAATACTGAAGTAAATTTTATTTATTCACTTTTAATATTTTATTTTTAGAGAGAGGGAAAGGGAAGGAGAAAGAGAGGTATGTGTGGTTGTCTCTCATGCATCCCCTACTGGGGACATGGCCTGCAGCCCAGGCATATGCCCTGACTTGGAATTGAACTGATGACCCTTTAGTTCACAGGCCCAGTGCTCAATTCACTGAGGCACATCAGCTAGAGAAAATTTTAATAATACACAAAACCATTGGGCTTCTAGTAAAAACATTCAACCCCCCTCATTTATTTCATGAGGGTTAGTTCAGTTTAAAGTAGGTAACATCCACAGTTCTACTTAACTGTCCCATGTTGCTTTAAGCTGGAAGCAAGTGAATAACTGAGGTGCTCCCATTACCCCTTTCTTGTTCTGGAACTTACTATGATTCTAGGTTACCTTGGGTACTCTGCATGACATATGACTGTGTAATACAAGACCTAGGGAAAGCCCCACTGTTTATATATTAAATATGAGTAAAATGTAATAATTTTCTTTTTTTCAAAAAAATTATTTTAATTGTTGTTCAAGTACAGTTGTGTCTTTTACTATCATCCCAGCCCACCCACCCATCCCCCCACCTCCCTCTCATTTCCACCCCACTTAGTTTTTGTCCATGTGTCTTTTATACTAGTTCTTGTAAACCCTTCGCATTTTTTTTTTCTGAAATTCCCTCCCCTCTCCCCTCTTGTTACTGTCAGCCTGTTCTCTATTTCAGTGTCTTTGGTTATATTTTGCTTGCTTGTTGGTTTTGTTGTTTAGGTTCCTGTTAAAGGAGAGATAATATGGTATTTGTTTTTTATCACCTGGCTTATTTCACTCAGCATAATGCTTTTCAGTTCCATCCATGCTGCTGCAAAAGGTAGGAGCTCCTTCTTTCTTTCTGCTGCATAGAATTCAACTGTGTAAATGTACCATAGTTTTTTGATCCATTCATTTTTCTAATGGACACCTAAGTTGCTTCCAAAACTTGTCTATTGTAAACTGTGCTGCTATGAACATTGGGGTACATAGGTTCTTTTGGATTGGTGTTTCAGGGTTCTTAGGATATAATACTAGGATATAACTCAGTGAAATTGCTGGGTCTAAAGGCAGATCCATTTTTTGTTTTCTTAGAAAATTTCATACTGTTTTTCATAGTGGTTGTACCAGTCTGCAATCCCACCAACAGTGAACTAGGGTCCCCTTTTCCCCACAGCCTCTCCAGCACTTGTTGCTTTGTTTATGATGGTCATTCTGACTGGCGTAAAGTGGTATCTCATTGTGGTTTTAATTTGCATCTCTCTGATAGCTAGTGATACTGAGCATCTTTTTATGTGTTTCTGGATCCTCTGTATATCCTTCTCGGAGAGGTGTCTGTTCAAGTCCTTTGCCCACTTTTTAATTGGGTTGCTTGTCTTCTTAGATTGAAGTCCCGTAAGTTCTTTGTATATTTTGGAGATTAAACCTTTGTCTAAGGTATCATTGGCAAATGTTTTCCCATACAGTTGGTTCTCTTTTTATTTTAATACTGTTTTGTTTAGCCATGCAGAAGCTTTTTATTTTGATGAGATCTCATTCATTTTTTCATTCCTTTATGTCCCTTGCTCTTGGGACATTAAAGTGTTGTAGGGACATGAAAAATCAGTAGAAATGTCGCTGCATGAAATATCTGAGATTTTCCTGCCTATGTTCTCCTCTAGGACTTTAATGGTGTCATGACTTAAATTTAAATCTTTCATCCACCTTGAATTTATTTTTCTATGTGGTGTAAGTTGGTGCTTGAGTTACATTTTTTGTAGCTGTCCAGTTCTCCCAACACCATTTGTGGAAGAGGCTAATTTTACTTCATTTTATGTTGCTGTCCCCTTTGTCAAATATTAATTGACCATAGAGGCTTGGGTTTATTTCTGGGCTCTCTGTTCTGTTCCACTGGTTCGTGTGCCTGTTTTTATGCCAGTACAAGGCTGTTTGATTATAGTGTCCTTGTAATACAGTTTGGTGTCAGGTATTGTGATCCCTCCTACTTTGCTCTTCTTTCTCAAATTGCAGCAGCTATTTGGGGTTGTTTATGGTTCCATATAAATTTTTGAAGTGTTTGCTTTATGTCTGTGAACTATGCCATTGGTACGTTAATAGGTATTGCATTGAATCTGTAAATTGCTTTGGGTAGTATGGACATTTTGATGATGTTAATTTTTCCAATCCATGAACATGGTATATGTTTCCATTTGTTTGTATCCTCCTTGATTTCTTTCTTCAGTGTTGTGTAGTTTTCTGCATACAGGTCTTTTATCTCCTTGGTTAGGTTTATTCCTAGGTATTTTATTTGTCTTTTTTGCTATATTGAATGGGATTATTTTCTTGATTTTTGCTTCTGATATTTCATTATTGGTATAATAAAATGCCTTTGATTTCTGGATATTGACTTTGTATCCCACTGTTTTGCCAAGTTTATTTATTGGGTCAAGCAGTTTTTTGGTGAAGTCTATAGGATTTTCCATGTACACTATCATGCAATCTGCAAACAATGACAGTTTTACTTCCTGCTTTCAATTTGGATGCCTTTTATTTTTTTCTCATCTAATTGCTATGGCTAGGACTTCCAGTACTATGTTGAATAGGAGTGGTGAAAGTGGGCATCCTGTCTTGTTGCTGATCTTAGTGGGAGAGCTTTTAGTTTTTGCCCATTGCATATGATGTAGGTCTCTCATATATGGCCTTGATTATGTTGAGGAATGCTCCCTCTATTCCCACTTTGCTGAGTATTTTTATCATAAATGGATGATGTACCTTATTAAGTGCTTTTTCCACATCTATTGATATGGTCATGTGATTTTTGTCTTTGCTTTTGTTTATGTGATGTATTACATTTACTGATTTGTGAAGGTTGAGCCATCCTTGCATCCCTGGGAGGAATCCCACTTGGTCATGGTGTATGATCATTTAATGTATTGTTGAATGTGGTTTGCCAATATTTTGCTGAGGATTTTAGCGTCTATGTTCATTGGCAATATTGGCCTGAAATTTTCTTTATTTGTTGTGTCTTTATCTGGTTTTTGGATTAGGATGATGCTGGCTTCATAAATAGACTTTGGGAGTGTTCCATCATTTTGGGTTTTTTGGAATAGTCTGTGAGGGATAGGGGTTAGCTCTTCCTTAAATGCTTTGTAGAATTCTCCTGTGAAACCATCTGGTCTAGTGCTTTTGTGTGT